ACGCCCTTGCAACACAATTAGGTCACATTATGCTGAAGATTAGAGGCGTTACCAGAAAGTAACATAACAACAGGAGGAGAGAAGTTTGTTTTTAGTTTTATAAGAGTTTTAGTATTTACGGCACTTGCAACAACAATAAGGCCATATAAATATGTAGATCTACAGAAGATTAGAAATAGTAACAAATACAAGAAAAGGAGGGGAGATCAGGACGACAGATTACTGTTCGATAGGAAAGGAACAAACCACGCCAGAGCATTTGCCAGCCACCCACAGGAAAAGTCTGAAAATGTCCGGCGGACAGTCAGTCCTTGATCAACCTGAACACCCCCCCCCACACACACACACACACACACACACACACACATGGGTGAGGGAAATGGGTGTATAACGTTCCCCCCCCATATCGACACAATTTACATCATGTTGGAAAGGCGTCTGACTCAGCCTACTCTGTCAAAGATGACCCGGGCAGAGAGTGAAAGTGATACATCCCAGCAGAAAAACCAGAGAAACTATTTCTTTCCAAATATCAAATATCTCCCCACATGTGCCCCCCTCCCATGCAAAAGCAAAGCACCTCTAACTCTAACCACTACACCACAGTACAGCCAGATGCTGGCCGGAGCTCCCGATCAAAATCCAGCACTTTCACTTGTGTGTTTGGCGTACATGTGCGAGCACATGTGTGCGCGCGTGAATATTGTTCGTAGCCTACATGCATTTTTACATAAAGCGCCTAGAGCTGTGTTTACACGTGAGTGGGCGCTATAGAAATAATCTTCATTATTATTATTATTATTATTAATTTCAACACGCACACAACAACCAAACAAAACAGCAGAGTAAATTTTCTTAATTTTTAATTTCTCACTTTGCTCAAGAATGGATACACATTTCTTTCCACATGTCAGTTTGCGTGTGTCTTAGGAAACAACTCAGCACTGAACATACAAGGCAGTTGTCACGAGTGATCTTCTACACTGGCTTGTGATAGGTCGAGTTGACAAAGAAAAAAACAACAAAAACAGCAAACGTGTGGAGGAAAACCTAGGAGGATCCAAACGGCAGCACAAACGATAGTCGACCTACAAGTAGAAGCTCACACCTTTGGCTGTACTGTTAATGCTATCAAAAAAGCAATTATTATAACAATAAATATATACTAAAAATTCATGCCAAACCGTACAAAAGACTGACTGAAACAGCTGGGTAAGCCTATCCCTATCTGACCACAATATATCACTATCATCAGATGGAACAAGAGCGAGATTTTATTGGATGCCCTTCACACAACAAACAAGGTACAGCACAGCGTGGCCTCACCTAACTAGTACAAGTTGTCAAACAGCTGTTCAAATGTACCACACCCAAAAGTTGGAAACTTTTTCTTCTTCAATTTTTTGCTACATTGCAGTTTCTTACACCATGTGGTTACAATTGCATCTGCTCAGGAAATATTTTGTCGAAATTCAAATTCCGAGTGTAGAAAGAAACACAATATATAAGTTACATTAACCCAAAAACGAAAGCTTTTTGTGTCCTGTAACATTTTGCTTTCTGAGCTTAGAACATTCGAACAGCTTCGATATCATTATCTTTCTCACCCTGGGTCAGGCATAGTTTTCCGCACCCTTTTCCATCCAACAAGACACAAAAATACCTAACCCCCCCCCCCCAAGGCAGACAAATGGAGATACTCATAAAAAGAAGAATGGAAGAGAAAACTGCATAAAAAGTAAATAAAAAAACAAAACAAAAAAAGAGAAAAAAAGGCAACAAACTCAACCCAGAAATGTTTTTATTGTCCCTCCCAACAAGAAAGAAAACCTAAATCTTCACAAATATATATATAAAAACCAACATGATATATATATAGCAAACAAACATTATTTGTTAAACCAATGCACATCAGTTAATGATTAGAAAACGGATAACCTAGAACCACCAAAAAAAAAAAGAAAAAGAAAAAAAAAGTAGAATAATGAAAATAGAAAAGAAACATTCACCCAACACAGAGGGGGGGAAAAAACAAATTGTTTTTCCCCTTCATCAACACAATGTCTTCTGTCCATCACACAATGCCCGACTCACTCACACACGGGACTTTCCAACAACACCACCACGCAAAGTCCGACAACTAGCCATGGCCCATTTTTATCTCCGACTAACAAGTGATTGGCTAAAACATGACAGTACTGGCGGCAACTGAAGAGCAAAAGCCTTCAGACACCATTAACAACATATCAACGCATCTAAACTGTAACCCGCAACGCTGCACACCTACACTGATTTACGGACGCCCCATCCCCAAATAAACATTTCTACCTCATCAGAACACTAACCAATTTGTACAACCAATTTCTATGCGCAAGAAACGCAACGAGCACAATCATACGACGAGCACAAACATACGACGTCACGGACAATCGTTTCACTGAGCATGAGCAGACAATAGGTAGGATGATACAATCACGATCACTTATCAAATTTAAAAAAAAAAAAAAAATGGCACTTATGGTAAGGTAGATATCTCCTGGCCAACTATACCCAGTACCATTAGATGTCTTTTCACTGCACTTTCAGCATTTTGTTTGAAAATGAGTGTCTCTCTAAATCTATGATCTGTTTAAATACGAGTGGCTCTCTACGGCAGTACGCTATCAACTGGTTGTTTTTTCCCCTGCAGCCTGAAATACATGGAAGAGCACGTGGCTGGGGTACAATCATTCTTTGGCCACATAAAACATTTCCGATGTAAAAATACTCAAGAAGTAATAAAAAAATCAAGATGTAATAAAATCAGTATACATAACAACCACCAAACTATTCACAAGTATAAAAAAAAAAGATATCACCCTTTCTGAAAATATTACGATTTTTTTTTTTTATCAATACAGTGAGTAAAGCAGTTTGGGAACTCTGTTTTTCATCATGCCCTCCTTGACCTGTTGAACAAAATGACCACACGTGAGCCGTCTTGTCGAAGGCTGCACACAGCGGTAAGGAAACGGCAGCCTGAGAACAATTATGTCACAAAAATACTCAGGTTTGCTCTTTCAAACATCAACGACAACTTGCACACATTCATTAACAGTTCAAGGCCATTCCATCTTCATTTGACAGCTTTTTCTACCCTTTTTCTTACATCTTCGTAAATTGGTAGTAACAACATACTGCAACAACATGTCAAATCTTTATGTCAATGTTAATTTATCAAATAGAAAGAAAAAAAAGCATGCCTCAAACTATCCACAGGAGAGGAAAAGCTCATCCCAACAACTGTTTTTTTTTATCCGGGGTCTCGGAGAGTTCACTTACAACTTACTACACAAGAAAAACAACATCCAATCCTTAAGTAAACTGGATGCCCGGAGCAAGTCCCCCGCCCCACCCCGCCCCCAACTGCCATATTTCTACATCTACAAGGCCTTACCCAATGATACAACATCAACACCTGAGTGGGGACAATGCACTTCGACCACAGTAAACAACTTACAAGTTTGCATTGATTGTTGAAGAGATGAAGAAAAATGGATAAATAAGAAACTAAAACTAGTATTTTTTTTTTAGAAAAAAAAAAAAAAAAGGTAACGTAACACCTGTGACCCACATTGGGAACAAATACAAGACTCACACCCACAGTTTTCACATGCGGGGGTAACTGCCCTGCTGCACATGGTCACACGCACACGACACACTCGGGGGGAAAACAGATCTGCCCTCAGTAGAATGAACATTGAGAGCCCCGCCGTACACGACAAAATAACTGCCTTCCGTTGTGCCCTACGGGTCAAATCGTGGTCATAAAGGTGGAGACCAAAACTTTTTCACATTTTCACAGCGTGCCTAGACAGTACTCAGCAGCTAAGCAACAAACTAATATAACACATCCATCTCCTGGCCAGATACCTTCATCATCATCATAAGATTCAAAACATGGGGGAGGGGAGGGGGAGGCGTACTTCTAACAGCCGCGCCATGGGCAGTGGGCACACTCTCAGTCCTCCTCTTCTCCTTCCTGTGCATTTTCCGCGTTCTCTGCTAGACTCTTGCCCGCTTTCTTCTTCTTCTTCTTGGCTGCCTTCTTTGATATTGACGTGCTCAGGAGTGCCTGGAGAAACAAAACACAACAGTGAGGGTTAAGAAACATTCCCGGCTTCCTAGGTAGTACACAGCACAAGAAGAGGATTACAAACACTCAAACACTAACAAACAGATGATTTAGTAGGAGTTTTATGGCACTTGCAAAACAAAAAGGTCATAAAAGTGCTGAAGATTAGAGGGTTATAAGCCAGTAACAAACACCAAAAAGAAGGGGAGATCAGGATGACAAATGCTTGATAGGAAAGAAGGAGCAAACCACATCAGACCACCACCTCCCAAATTCCTGGGAAGCGTACAAAGCAAGCTGAGATTGCACACACTCAAACACTAACAAACCGACCAAAATCTAATATTTTTAGCGGGATATCCATTCACACTTTGGTGAAACGAGGAAACTTTGTGTTGTGCCCTCCCCAAAGGAAACAATATCGGGCCTGCGGAGAGATTCAAACTCACGACCTTACAGTTGCAAGTCAAAGAGCCTAACCACTAGGGCCAACGACACAACAACTAACCTAAATATTTTTGTTTTAGTAAGCGTTTTACAGAACTTGCGACACAATTAGATCATACTATAAGTGCCGTAGATAAGAGGTGTTACAGGAGAGTAACAATAATAGACGACAGTTTGTCTGATAGGAAAGGAGGAGCAAACCACACCAGAGCACCCGTCAACCACCCACTCCTCCACCTTCCCCCGAGCAGCCACCCACACACAACAGAGAACAAGGGAGACGCAGCACACACTCACCACAGACTCAGGGTTGGTGACGGAGAACTCCGACTTGTACAGCCCCTCCTCGATGGGCAGGCCCGTGATCTTCAGGGGTCCGTTGGGCATCAGGATGACCGTTTGCTTGTACTGGGCCACAAACTCGCCTGGACAGAGGGGGAAAGGAAAAAACTCAAATTATTTTATTTAGTAGAGGTTCACAGCACCCGTAACTGCATAAGGTCATATGAGCGCCAGAAAATTAGAGGTGTTACAAGAGAGTAACAAACTTAAAAAAAGAAGAAGGGGAGATAAGGATGATATATGTTTCATAGGAAAGAAGAAGCAAACCACACTAGAGCACCCGCCAACCACCAACAAAAAACTCATGAAAGGTGTCTCAACATGTCTCGTTTCTGTGAGCGTATGTGGTTGTGGTGTGTGTATGTTTGTGTGGTGTGTGTGGTGTGGTGGAGGGGGGGTGTCACACTGTCCCAGTTATTCACCAGTCTTTTGTCCACTACAAGCTTTTCACAAGAAGCAAAAACTTTATTTTGTGCAGAACGTTATGCTAATACAAAACATTTAATTCGTCTAGATCCGTAACTATACTAAGAAGAGCAATGAGACCAAGACCAATCTATGCACTTCATCTGCCTCTTCCTGTGTTTTGGTCAAAGGGCACAAGTGGTAAAGACTGCTAGACACAGGCACACAACACAAAAAGGCCACACACACAAAAACAATAAAGGACACATGCAACACACAAAAAAGAACCCAAAAGACACACAAACACACAAAGGACACACTCAACACACAAATCACATGTCACTCACCATCTCTTTCAAAGAGTACATTAAAAGGCTGCATAAGGCCGTGCTTCACACACTCCACCACTCCCATCTTGGCCTTTTTCTCATCCTCTACTGCTCTGTGGACACAAAGTTGGGAGTTTGCTTTAGTTTAGTGTCATTGTTTGTTTTAGTAGAGGTTTTACAGCGCTTGCAACTGCATAAGGTCGTATGAGCGCCAGAAGATTAGAGGTGTTACAAGAGAGTAACAAACATAAAAAAGAAGGGGAGATAAGGACGATAGACGTTTCATAGGAAAGAAGAAGCAAACCACACTAGAGCACTCGCCAACCACCCACCGAGAAAATATGTGAATATTCACGATTATATTAGACACATAAAGTTGTATTTGGAAGAATTACTTCATAATGAATTGTGTGCCAGGTAGACAAAGTAGCAAAATTATAGCTTTCTATTACATGCGCAGATACCATCTTTTCTGAATATCTGAACCAATATTACTTCGTTCATGTTCCAAAAGTTTGACAGTTTTTGTTGTGCCGGTTTTTCTTATATTGATTTTTTTTTTTCATTCACACTTGTCCACAAAATTTTGCAATTTAACATTGCCGACTTCGGCGCGTCTAACAAAATAACCAGAAAAGTTACAATGTTCATTCTTTTTTGAGTCTCAAGAGCAGATATGCGTGCTTTGGGTACATTAAATGATAATTATCATATATACAAGGATACACCTAAAACTCAACGTTGAAAAGTACCAAGAATTAAGTCAGCCCAGACAGATCGGCGACAGGGAGCTGACCCCCGTGACCCCGACGTGAAAAGCCGTTCGGCGAGGAACCCCCACCGGCAACTAAAATTCCACTGCCGGTGCGCTGTGCATTGTGCTGGGAAAAGCAAAGATGCAAATCTTGCCAGAAACAAACAGGGCAAACCTGTCTTATACAAGCGCACTATCCATGTGATAATTCAGATTTCATAACATGAAATACACTAAGAGAAATAAGAACCGACATGAATTTGGGAGGGGGAGTAAAAACGTATGTAGATCTCTTACCGCAAAGTGAAAGGCATCAGTAGAAATTTCTTTTCAGTTTCACTGAAGAATTCTGCAGAACAAAAGAGTATCATCTATATAGCAACTTAGTTATGGGGAGAAAAAAAAAAACGCAATCATTTTGATACACAAAAAAAGGAGTAATGTTTAGTTTTAGTAGAGGTTTTACGGCGCTTGCAACTGCATAAGGTTATATGAGCGCCAGAAGATTAGAGGTGTTACAAGAGAGTAACAAACATAAAAAAGAAGGGGAGATAAGACGATAGATGTTTGATAGGAAAGAAGGAGAAAACCACACCAGAGCACCCGCCAACCACCAACAAAAAGAGTAAAAAACCACTATCACACACAGGAAATAAAAACAAAACAAGGCATCAGACTTGAACAACACATCCTAGATTTAAAAACACAAAGATGGCCTGTCACATAAGGGATGAAACAACGACACCATGAGGAATATACTCAATGGAAGAAGTGTGGAAACCGAAATATTTCAACTCAATACATGTAGCAATGGTTTTGAGATGAAGGGAGAAACGAAACTGACCCCCCCCCCCCCCCCCCACCCACATTAATATCAACAACAAAAATACAGCATACTGTCACATATTCCCACCAACAGACTCCATCAATCGAAACACCAAATAGCAGCAGAAGAAGGTCACGCAACATCACCAACCAACAGCTCACATAAACCCAGAGCGAGGCAATACATAGCGACTCTACTTGGATTTTGTGAAAATAACTGAAAACTTACAAACTTGCATTTACAAGCAAAAAGACAGTTTAAAGGCACAATTAATATGGGGTTAAATAGGAAACAAATGCTTGAAACAGTAAACACTCTTCAAGAAGAAATTGTGAAAATACTGGAAATGAAGGAAAAACAGCATCCCAGAAAACAAAACGAGTTATCAATTTTTTTAAAAACAACAACTTACGTCTGGAAGCTTTCATCTTTAGCTGATAGATAATGTCCTTCTTCTTGTACACTGTTGTCCTCGTGTCAAGTTCTCTGCCCTAAAATAGAAATGTAAAAAAAGAACAAAATTAAAGATGTGAAAGAAAGGAAAGGGGAGGAGAATCTTTTAAAAATACATCACATTCCACAAGCAAATGTCCTGAAAGCAACTTTCAGTCTAGGTTAAATCACATGAAATGCACAGATGACATGATAGAAGGAGATGTTTCAAACAAAATCAGCAACTTTCAGTCTACAAATCTTCATAATGATAATGAGAATTCATTTAGTGCCTATTCCCTAGGAGGTTCTAAACGCTCTATTACACAGTATTACCAATCCACTTAATTGACCAATAAAGGACAGAAAATACACATTCTCAGACCATTTAAAGACACAGACACACACAATTTCCGGACCCATACATTATCATATACAACAGTTGCTGGCAGAGGAAAGGATTGCATTTTTCTCACACGTTCTCTCCGATATTATAATCTGCGTTATCTTATTTCTGAATAATATGTGTCACGACATGGTGGAATCTGGCATGCGTCAATTTTGTGACATATCGAGTTATTGATGTCATCTTTAAGGTTGTTTATATTTGTGTTCATTTTGATTTTAAAAATACCCATCAGAAGTCAAAGTATTTGCAATTGAAGGAGGCAGGAGTCACCTGGTTTCAGCAGTAAAATTAGTGAGAAAATGGTCGCCAAAGTTTGGTGACTTCCATAGCTTAAGAGTCCTTGGAAACTGAAAATTTACATTTTTAAGTGCTTTAATCAACTAGTTTCAGAAAAATCAGCACATAAATGTGTTTTTAAATGGACATGAAAGGTGTTGAGCCAAAAAAAAGAATGTACGAAAAAAAATTGCCAAACGCCTAGAAAAATGCCGGTTTCTTTGACTGCATTATTTTTACGAGCACCTGATTTCACCACGACGGCTCACATATCTTTTTTAAAAAAGCAGGTTGGAATTACATTTTTATCCAATAAAGTGATTAAAGACCTTGCCTGAAAATTCAAGTTGAAGCAATATAAAAAAAAAGATTTAACTGCCATAAACAAGATTCATGTGATACAACAGATAGACAAACTTTGACAAAAAGGAAGCAGTGTACCTTGCCATCTCCTGAGCTCACAAGGATGTCGATGCCGTAAACTTCATGAACTTCAAATTCACAAGACTCATGCTCTTTCCTGGAGAAAAAAAATGAGGACATATTGAACCAACAAAATTGTAAGACAACAATCATTGTATATTGAGTGGTTAATTTGTAAAAGTTATAAAAAATGTTGGAACATGTGCGATTTCTTTTTTTTCCTTATCGATGGTGTTTCAAAACAGCACTATCATAAAGAGAACGTCAACGTCTTGCAACATGCCAATCAGTTGTTTTTAGATTTAGTAGAGGTTTTACTGCGCTCGCAACAGCATAAGGTCATATGAGTGCCAGAAGATTAGAGGTGTTACAAGAGAGTACCAAACATAAAAAAGAAGAAGGGGAGATAAAGACGATAGATGTTTGGTAGGAAAGAAGCATACCACACCAGAGCACCCACCAACCACCCACCCCAATGAGTTGGATGATAAAAAACTTGGCAAACAGCTGTATGACGGCTGACAACATCAAACAATTCTTAAAAGAAGTCCTTAAATTTATGGCATTCTTCAACACAATAATGGTCATTTTGTGCAGGGAAAGAGTAAGTGAAGACGGACAGACAGACAGACAGACAAACAAAAACAAGAGGAAAAGAAACTATACAGACTTCTGTATTCTGATACGTTTTACTTTAGCTGTGCGCATACCTTTGAGCCTCTGAGGGGTTCTGAATGAAAGCCTTTTCTCCATCGATGATGTGACGCTTCAACTGGTGGGACAGCATACCTGAAGACCGAACATTTGTTCTTTTTTAAAAATTTGTCCTTGCACAACTGTTATGTCCCGCGCTACACACAAGACATCGACTACATATCTCCGGAAAGCCCTATCAGTGAATTGGTTGAACTCTTGCACACACAACGAAATACTTCTCAGCAACAACAGAAAATAGGTCTCTTTTCCTGTGAGTTCACTGAATGAAAAACTACCAAGACAAATTTGTTTAGATTTAACTACGAATAAGTGACGTATGTCACTCTCAGGTTTCGTACTAATGGAAGCCTCCGATATAATGGGGAAACCCCCCCTGGAGATAACAGAAATACGTAAGATATACTTAAAAATTAGAACAAGTCAAACATAAAAAATAAAAAACTGGTCCAAAAAGAGAAAGACAAAGCAGCCAATCTATACCTTCAATGGGTTTGCACTTGAAATCCTCCACAACTTTCTGTATTCCGTCTGTGGCAAAGTAATTCTGCAAAACAACAAACAAACTATGAGCAATACTTTAGCAATGACCACGAAAATCCTTTTTTGCCAGAAAATGTTTGCAAATAGGTGCATTTTGTAGCTTTATCTTCACAGAGCATGGAACTTTTTGAATTTTTTAAATCCATCAATAAACAAAAATGTTACGGATTTTTTAATCAATTAATTTCTGGTACACTTTTATATAATGAAAAAACCCTAAAATATGGGAAGTTCTTTGGTGAGTTTTGAGACAATATTCGTCATAACTCGCTCATTTCTCTGAGTATTTAAAAGAAACTTGGCAACCCAGTACATTTTCTAGTGCAGAATCTAGCAGAATCTAGTTCTGCTTTCAGATTTTTCATAGCTATCCTATTTTTTGAGTTATGAAGACGTTTATGGGTAAAAATGTTGGCCGTTTTCGGTGCGTTTTGAGACAATATTTGTCATAGCTCGCCTATTTCTTGGAATATGTAAATGAAACTTGGCAGTCTAGTACATTTTTTAATGCAGAATCTATTCATGCAGTCAGATTTTTAATATCTGTCATACTTTTTGAGTTGTAAAGACATTAACAGGTAAAAAAGTGGCGTTCTTTACAAATTTACAAAGATTATCAGTCATATGTTCTCCCAAAGTCATGATATTTGAATGAAACTTGGCAACATAAAAGGTTCCTCCTTGCCAAGCAATGCTCTGGATCAATTTGTCCCAAAAATGTAAGTAGAGAGCTACTAATAAATCCAGTTTTGTACTAGTAAAAGCATGCATACTTTGTTATAGAAAATACGATCGTCTCTGTGTATATCCATTGTTGGACAGTGTCCTATTGCGTGGCAGATTAAGATGCTTTCAGATAATATAGTTTACAAGTCATGGGAATATTTCGCATGTGTAGGCTACAACTCGTACAATAAATGTAACATATTTACACCCCCCCCCCCCTTCTCTCTCTCTCTCACGCCGCACACACATGCACGCGCGCACTCATGCACGCACGCGTGAACGATAACAATGTATAAACGGGACTATCTTCCCAGACTGGACTAAATAAGTACCATACTCTTTAATAACAATCTTAATGCCTCACTTTTCCCAAACAGAGCACACAGGACGAGTCCAAGTGTGTGCTTTCCCAAGAGGGGGGAATAGGCTTTCATAACGCAAACACAATGCCATACTACTTCTCAAGATGTTTGCTTTTCTGTTTCTATTCTTCTGTCATGCAATCAAGCAAATAAAAATGACTACATCTATTGTATTGTGACTAAAATGCAACAAAAACGCAAGTTATCAAGGCCCCCGTTTAGTTTTCAAGTATCCTCCCCCCCCCCCCCTTTCCATTTCACATAAGCGGGGCCTCGTTTGTAGCGCCCGAGGCGACCGATGGCTGATGACGTCACTCAGTGGAAATTTCCACGCCGCAAATGGCAATGTCGCTTTTTCCCTTAGTTACTCCCACATTTTTAAAGATTACGCCAAAACCGCTAAACACAGAAGCATGAAATTTTAAGGGAATAAAGAAAAATGGTGTACAACGTATCAGTCAGTTTGACAAATCACAGCTCCGAAAAACTTTCAAAGTGCACCACATCAACCACTTTCGCAAACGTTTTCGACTGCTTCTAGGATGGGTACAATGTTGTCAAACTGCATACTACGAGATTGACCTCTTTTCTGATTGGCTGTCAAGTTTCATTCATATCCATTTACGAGAAGCGGCATGAGAGCGAGTTGAAGACAACAACCTTTGCGTTAGTGTCTCCCACGAAACACCCCCGCGGCGGGGGCCAAAAATCGGCAGAACAAAATGCGCTCGGTGGGCATTGCTAAATACTTTGAACTTAAGTAAGAGACGCTACTGATAAAACAAAATAACAGCCATCACTTTATTCTATGCAAGAAGAAAGGAAAAACAAAAGAAGTACCTTCCCTCCCAACCAAACAACACCAATTAAAAAAATGAAACTTGGACTTTAAAATATAATGTTCACAGATCAAATCTAGTACTTAAACTATCCACAAGCAACATCAACATTTTGCATCCAAATTATTTCAGGACCCACTGGGTAGCACCGGAAAGAAATCCAAATAGAAATTTGGATATCCAGTTCTTGCGCGCGATTAAATGAAGTAGGAGAGCCAAACCGCTCCCATTTTTCTATCTGCTTTCTATATGACCCCGATTTACATTTGGGTTTCTGGCCAGCATATATCTATTTTCATCAAGTCATTCCCCCAAAATTACTAGTGGGAGGTTGGTGTGTGCTGTGGTGTGGTTTGCTCCTTTCCTATTCAACATCACTAATTCTTATCTCCTCCCCTTCTTTCTTGAGTTTGTTACTCTCTTGTAACCCCTCTAATCTTCGGCACTTATATGACCTACTGAGTTGCAAGTGGCATATAACTCTTACTAAAACTAGAAACTAAACAAAATTACTAAGTTCTATATACTCAGTACCTAGTTTATAAAAATTTGAAGCCAAAAATGCGTTTTCGAATGCAATTCTTTAAATATCATGATAATGACTCCGAACTATCTTACGATTTTGATAGAGCAGAAAGAAAATTTGGTTCCTGGCCTCATGGTCTTAGTAACTCAAAATGAAAGAACTTTGTAGTTGTACGGTAGCGATGTATCTAGCAGCACACAATTTATGGCAGGGAGGGGGCAATGGCTCTTTATGCAGGAAACACGTCCCAACTTATTCGGTAATTCCTGCGCCCAGCGCGGTCGGTACTCACCGTGTTGCCTGGCTTCACGGACCTGAGGGCCACCTCCAGGGCTTTCTGTGCTGCGATGATCACGTCTGCCTTCCTGCCTGTGACCGGTGCATCCTGCAAAACCAAATTACCAGTTTAACTTTAGTAAAATTTTGCACCAACAAGGAAGTATTAAGAAGAACGAGACAGAGCCCAATCAGAGATGAGGTGGGAAGAAGGCGTAGGTGATGGATTGGACACACTCTCAGGAAGTCAAGCAGCCGCATAACAAGGAAAGTGTTAGATTGGAACCCACATGGCAAAAGATCAAGAGGAAAACCACGTGGGACCTGGAGAAGAGTCACGGAAATGGATGTACAGAAAAATGGGAAGACAGTAACGTCAAGCGACTAGCCCAGGATAGGGAAAGGTGGAAAGTGTTGGTTCATGGCCTATCCTGATCCAGGGTGAGAAAGCCAATGATGATGATGAAACATTTTTGCGGCACTTGCACCACAATTAGGTCATATAAGCACTCAAGATTAAAAAGGTTCATAGACAGTATCACAGAACAAAAAGCTTCAGCAGCACAAAGTCTGTTTCAACTTTCAAGGCACCCCGGAAATAGCGGGTCACAAGAGTGACAAACACACAAAGAAGTAGAGGAAAATGACCCTTCGCGATAGATGCGAAAATCCACAAGCACAGGAGCAAACGTCAAGAGGCATTGAATGCTGAGCCATTACAGAGAGAATCATGGCTTCCATTGAGGCTACCCTGTCTGATAGCGGAATCATAGGCACTGGCTTGGGTTGACTCGAGCTAGATCTAGATCTAGATTCAGATCTAGTATCACCTCCTCCATCTTTCTCATTTGAATTTGATGTTACTTCTTGCACTTGGGAAACTTTAAAGGATCCGAAAATTGGGAAAACCTTTTTGGATGGATTGAAAAGCTCCCAAGGCTGTAATTCGACTGCCGAGTCTTGATCTGCGCGATGTGTGCCTCTGTTCTCAGATGTTCTTTCAATGTACTCGCACCCTTTCCTTTTTCATGTAAGTAACGAATTGCACCACTTGCGTAAGGCGTTTCCACTGACGTTTATCTTGGCAATGCTATCGCCTACCTTAGCTTGGAAATCTACTCCATTGATTGTCACATTCACCACATCTTCTAACCACTGATACTTCCACTTATTCTTGCAATCTTTGTCTATTTCTTTCACAATGGCCTCTTCACTCTTTGAGAGAACGTGATACGCCATCTTCCAGGCTTCTTTGTTGTTCTCTCTTTCCTTCCAACACAGACCGGATGTATGGGAAAAGAAAATGTTGCCAGATACATGTATTCGCATAAATTGTGAAAGTCAACCGATTTCGATAAAAACCAGAAAGGCAAAGTAAGTAGTAGTTATGAACAGGAAGTAAAGGTGGAGTGCCAAACTGGCATACATCGCTCTATTATGTTCTCCTAATTTTCTCACTTTTTCTCGGAGAAGATAATTATAAAACCCGTGCAGACGCGAAGCGAGACTGAAACATGACCGCGCGATGCTCAGCGATTCCGCGGCCGCAGATCTTAGCCCCGAACTTTCTCCAAACCGCGAACCCCGGAAGTCTGAGAGCCCTGCTTTGGGAATGGCCTCCAGACACTTCAATCAATGGCACCGCCCCGGGGGGTTACAAGATGGGTGAGACCTGTACTTCATGACAAACCAGCAAGACACTCAGTTGCCATCAACACCAACACCAGCAATCAAAAGAATTACAAAGAGCAGGTAACAAAAAAGTGCGTTTTGAGTACAAGTAAAGAGATGCAGCAGACCTATACAATAACAGTCATATAGTCCAGGACAGAAGCAAGACAGATAGACCGGAATAACTGTGGGAATGAAAACAAGCAGGACCTACCAGTGCCCCCCCCCCCCCCCCCCCTCTCCCCAAGCATCCACCAATGAACTTTAAAATTTCACGAATAATTAAATAAAATCTCTAGCAATGCTTTGCAAAAACCGTGCAGACGGTATGGTCACTCGTCACAGCACATTGTCACTGCCCCAGCAGCATTCCCCCCCTCTCTCACCTTGGAGGCTCCCACCACAACAGTGTGTGCTGCCACGGCAATGTACCCATCCACGTGAGCACCAAGATCTCTGGAGGGAGAAAATAACATACAAAAGTGAGTACAGTTGAAACTATTTACATGATTATTTTATGCCCCCTCCCCATCAACACAATTTAGATCAATTAAGGGGTGGGGTTTCTTCTGACCCTGCCTGTCAGAGCCAAGCCGGGCTGAGTGGGATACAGCATCCCAGCAGAAAGACCGAGACCATCCATAAAAATGTTCTCCCCACACATGAATCGAAGTCAGGTTTCTTTTCTTTTTTTAGGAAAGTAATCCACCCACCAGAGATAATTGAGACACAGATTTCTTTGTGCCTCATCAGCTTCAGCAGTATCTGTCCCGCTTATCAGTGGGCACAAGGCCGAGGGAAAGTCAGGAACAGATGCTATACTTTGATCTTAGCCCGACTTTGCAGTCAGGCTTCCAGCGCGGGAGTGTCTAGCCCCCACACCACAAACGCAGGTGTTTTCACATCTTACCAGTTGTGAGGCAGCGTAGTGAAAGCAGCTCGTCAAAATAATGAAATCGGAGAAACAGGTATTTTCCCGGCAGTTCGGAAATTTTTATCGAATTTTTACTTTTTGGCTTCTCTAATATGTCCATATAAAAACGTTTTCCATGTCAACTTTACAAAAACAGATTGATTAAAGGAACAAAATACGTCATTTTTCAGTGCTTAAAGACTCTTTAGCTATTGGAATGACCAAACTTTGGAGACCATTTTCTCGCTAATTTCACCACTGAAACCAGGCGACCTCACTCCCTTCAATCGCAAATATCGAGTTCTATTCAAGATAAATGGATTATTTCATTAGAAGCAAGTCAAATAAATCAGCTTTCAGATAATGCCAATAACTCCACATGCCTCAAAATTGACGAGCGCCTGATTCCACCGCGTCGTGATACTGGTCATTTAGTGCTGGGGAAAAGTAAGACAGACAGACAGAAACAACAGAGAGGGAATGTAGAAGCAGGACCTACCAGTGGCATCCTCCAACCAATTGCTAATGTCTGCTCCACACTTGACATCTGAAGAAGAGCACGGGTACGTGACCTCTACCAAAACAAGATCCACCCAAGAAAGATAATTTCTGGACAAAACTCAGACCTCACTTCAGAAATTCCCTCCTCATATTGTCCGCCAGCTGTTCAAATGTATGACGTTCAGAATTTTGATATCTTAAAAAATTCTTCACTTGTGGTATCAGTTTTGTACTATGCTCTAGGAATGTTTTGTCAAAATTAATATTCTAAATGAAAAAAAAAACCAACAAAGCTTTAAAATGCAAGAAACAATACATAATGTAGGTACCATAGTTAAAAGAATGAAGAATCAAAAATTTTTCCTCTCCTAATAATGTTTGCTTTCTGAGTTAAATGCAATTGACCAGCTTGCCAAAGACATGTACGTGAGTGAAGACAACTTGGCAACCTGGGCACTCACATTTTGACAACGTCCCCGTTCCTCATGATAACATCTGGATCTGACTTGAGGGGAGAGAAGTGGCAAATGCAGTTGTTGATGGAGACGCATGTTGGGAAGGCAATTCCTGCAGACACACAATACCAACAATTAAATTGACCATCTTGTGAAACCACGGGTGAAAAAAAAAGTACCTACAAAGAATTATTACAGTATAAAAATGTGTAAAGAATAAAAGTATTCACTTATAATACTAACATGAAGAGAAAAGTAATAATGTATTTTTATTCGCAAAAATTTGCCTGCATAAAACTAGTGCAAGGAAATAACTGCTGCAAATTCTATATTTTATTAATGAAGGCAAATGAAAAACTCATGTATTATAATCATTCTTTTTATACTTAAAATCTCTTATTCAGATATCATTAAATGCCTTACATACCTTTTTTCATCTCTTTGTCTTTTTTGAATACTTTAGAGGTCTCCTCGTCGAGGCGAGTGTCACCAAATTCACAGAGTTCAAGTACAGAACCTCCATCTTTGCACTTGCCGAGCAGTTCTGCCAGAATTGCTGTGGAAATAGAAAAAAACAAAAACAAATTAATGAATTAATAATACAAAAAATAAGAGAATGGAACTGAAAGAAAAAGACAGCTCAAATAAAGATATTACCTGACACACACATACACCCACAGCCTTAATAATGAATTAAATCTTAAACATGTTCTGCAAGTTGCAAAGAAAATAATCTGAGTTATCAGGCTGCCGCCGTGCGGTCGTGTTGCCACCACGACTGACAAAGTGGGAATCCCTCTATGATGTCAAACAAGATGGCTGTTACTTAGAGTTGGGGCGAGCGGACGGACGGGTTCGTTACTTGCGGACTCAGTCAGAGCGAACGGGTAACGGACGGCCATGAGAGCGAACTGCGAACCTCAAAACAGTTCGTTTTTTTGGGTCCGCTCCACAATTTGACTCCATGAACGCCTAGCTACAATGTGAGGCAGGAGGGTGATTTTTTTGATTTTTATTATTTTTTGGGGGGGGGGGGGGGGGTGTAAGTTGTAAGCAATGGAAGGAGTCGTTCCCGTCCGTCCGTCCGCTCGAATGCATGGGGTCTCTCGGTCCGCCCGCTCGCTAAATGAACCGTTGTCTCTGCGCGATGTGTAGCGAACTACTCTTCACAAACAGACAGTTTGTTACCCGTCCGCTCGTTTGCGGGTAGTGCCAACGAGTAGTTCGTTACTCGCAGACGCTAAATTTGCGAGCCCGACCCAACCCTGTTGCTATAAATATCGGTCAATGGCGATAAGTTGTCATTCTCAAGCTATCTCTGCTTGTATCCTTCTCCTCAACCCTAGACTTTGACACATGCCTCAGAAGTTGACCATGCTCGCCAAGTTTCCTTAAGTTGGGAATCAAACAAGGCACACTGCCCTGACATCAAACCTCCCCATCCATCTCCAGGCCACTTAACTTATCACTCCCAAATTCATACACAGTGCAAGTGCCCAGCCCCATTCATAGCCCAACTCCCCCCCCCCCCCCCCCCCCCCCCACCATACGCTATCATATGAACCAAACTTTCAGCACCTGACACAGATCAAGATTCCATAAACCCCAGTCACTTTACAAGTTTGACCACTGAAGGCAAGCAGAAGGCACAGAGGGTGGGGAAAAAATCTAATGCTTTCTCTGGAAGTGGAAAATTTATACCAGCAGTTGCCCAGTTTGGAACATTTTATTCACATTCGCTGGATTCAGGTAGGAGCGGATAGTTAGAGAACATTAGGCTATTGATAGGAGTACGCCAATGGCCTATTAGATTCTTTAACATACATAATATAATGAGCTTCATTACGGCCTTTAACACACTTTGCTAAAACGAAATTTACTCCACATTTTTTTTATCGTGGCTATTTCTCAGAACGCTCAGGAAAATAAACTTGACCTCTATTTCTCCAAACGGTTTCCGTTCTCGAGATTTTTTGTTTATTTGTGAGATTTAGGCGCCACCTTTCATTCTGTGAGGACTGGGAAGAAGCATTTTTTATTTTTTGCATCAAAATCAATTTCTAGAGCTAGATTTAGATCTAGATCTAATGATTTTTAAATGTCTGAATATTCAGATACTTCAGTTGTGGTTGGGGCGACGTTTCCGTATAATTATACTTCATTTGAAGATGCCTTCAAAAGGTACTGCGAGAAGTCACCCCTAAAATCCTTCATGTAAACAAAAATAAAATCCCCCCCCCCGACCATTTTTCACACCTTATACACACACACACACACACAAACACGCACACTCACTCACACACACACGTGTGCGGGCCACTCCATTCGCAAATTATCAACAAATATCGAGAACGGAAACCGTTCTGAGAAATAGAGCCGGCCTTTTTCTCTTCAGATCCGACAGTGAGACTAGTTCTGGAATACATGCGACTACACGCAGGGCGTAAACCGGGCTACGATTGGCTGAATCTGTGGCCCATGAATACATTAACTAGGCTTACAGGCCCTTTTATGGTACTCTGGGAATTCCCGGTTTCGGTCTCGCGCCTTTGACAGTCTTCTCACAGCCGGTAGGAGCGCTCAATGAAAGAAGAAGATGAAAGAAGGAGAACTGAGGAGGAGGAGGAGGAGAAATGAAGAAGTAAAAGAAGAAGAAGAATGAGGAGAAGGAGGAGAAATGAAGAAGTAAAAGAAGAAGAAGAATGAGGAGGAGGAGATGAAGAACAAGGAGGAGGAGGAGGAGGGGGAGGGAGGGAGAAGAAAAAGCAGTAGGAGCAGGAGGAATTAGAGGAGGAGGAGGAGGAGGAGGAGAAGAAGATGAAATAGAAGGAGAAGAAGAATTTTAATCTAGATCTAGATATCTAGATTCTAGATCTCCATCTAGTAGTAATACATGTTACAAATTGGGGACTTTTTCGTTTGTTACACTAGATCTACCTTGGGAAGGGGG